TATTACTTATTATACTTTTAATGAGAGGATGAGGTTGCCCTATCCTACCCGTTCGGCTAACGACCCTCCACCAATCAAGCAAGCGGTGGGTGTGAGTGTACACCCATTAAGCGCCATTTTATAGGCCGCAACCTTATACCCACCTTATAGATCGGCTTCGTGAATGAGGCCTACTAACGGTAGGACTAGCATTTAGTGTTATATATATATATATATATATATATATATATATATATATATATATTATTCTAGTAATATCATATTAGTATAAGGTTGTGTTTTAAACCTTTTAAAAACGTAGGGTTTGAAATTTAAGTTGTCTAAATTAAAACTTTTAATCACACATATAAATTTCAAAATGTGAGGGCAAGTTTTAAATATTTAAAACATGGAGGATCAAATAACAAATAATTCCAATTAACAATTAATATCCTAATTATCTGTATTTGATTTGTCCAAGATTTCTTTTAAGATAATTACCAAAATAATCAAAATAATTAATTAATTATCATATAAGGAAATTAAATATTTTATTAGATGATAAATATCTTTAATTAGATCAAGATTATAGTCATATATATCAAAAAATCAGATTAGGGTTGATCTAATATGATTAAGGTAAGTTTCCATAAGATAAACATGAAAAAATCCTGGTTTTAGCTAATCCTGACGCCCGAACTCGCCGAGTACACAAAGGGACTCGCCGAGTCAGGCCTACTCGCCGAGTCCACTTTGGAACTCGCCGAGTCCATGACTCAGAACCCAAAAAAAACGAATTTTGCAGGTTTGTTTCAGTTAATCAAGCAACAATTTAAAGGAAACCAAGCTAGGCTCTGATACAACTGATGGGTTTTAGCCATAAGAACTTTCCTATGTGCGCATGCAAAACCATAATGCTCGGATCTAGGCTTTCTAATTAAACATGCTTTGAATCCAAGACTTCTAATGCCTAATTAGGTTAAATAACAACATTGAAATAGATCTAGAACCATACCTTTGAATTCCTTGTTGATCTTGTTATCTTGGAGCTTCTAGAGTCACAAATGTCACTCCTCTAATGGCTTGCAAACACCAATAGCAAGAAAGATGATTTAGGAGAGAGGAGAGGGGAGGAATTCGGCCAGAGTGTCTCTACTTTTAGATGGTGTGTCGAATTCCCTCACCCTTAGGGTCTATTTATACTTGTAGACTCCTTAAGGATTACAACTTTAACCCTAATTGGATAACTTAGACTTTAAGTTAATCCATATCCTTTCCTTGATAACCATATGGATGATTTTTGGCTTATCCAAGCCCTAGAAATCGTCCATCCTATCTTGGATAAGGATTTATAGTCTAAAGTGTAACTATCAAACAGTTGACAGTTTATACCCTCTTATTTAATTAATCTCTTTAAGTCACAATATTAATTCCAATTAATCTATGACTTATATTAATCAAATAACCATATATTATTCCTTATAATATTTATTCTCTCTTAACAAATCATCCATCACGTTGCTATGGTGAAGGCAACCCAAAAAGACCATGCACAACCGGGTCAAATACTTGCCTAATATAGTTGTAGCCTTAGACACTATTCCAACAATAGATTGCTCTGCCTGTTAAAAAAATGAACATATTGTTTTAAGTACAAGTGCACATTTAACATATAGTAATTTATGGTAAGTTATGTACCTGTAAAATGGCTTGTTGCCCAGTGTATTGGAGGAATCTTTCTAAGCTATTCACATGCCTCCTTGTCATAGTTGCTAAATTATTTCATGAAATGTTCAAATTCAGTTACAGTGGTTGCAGTTGCACATCTCCATAAATTATCCTTGTATTCTTTCAATTTCCATTTCACTCTCATATTCTGATGTATGTGCCTGAGACAATACCTGTGCTCAGCACATGGGAATAGTTGGGCTATTGCTGGTATTAAAACCTAAAACAATAACAAGAATTAAGTATTTAGTTTATATAATAATAAGTAATTAATAATACAAGTTAGAAAGAGATACCTTTTGTCGATCTGTGATAAAAGTAAAGTTAGAGTTTGAACCAAGATCCAAGTCTTCTCCTATGCATTGCAAGAACCATACCCAACTACTTTTGTTCTCTGTCTCAACAATGGCATAAGCAAGGGGGTAAATACCATTGTTAGAGTCCAACCCAACTGCTGTTAGAACGTACCTAGGAAATGGACCTTTCATATGCGCACCATCGAAACCCAAAAGACCCTTGAGGCCAACCTTAAAACCTTTTTTCAGGGGACCTAAGCAAATACAGATTCTTTTAAACCTCCTCATTGGGTTTGATGGGTTTTGTTCACTGTAAACATCAACCTTGATGGTTGTGTCAACATTGGTTGCTTGCAATTCAAGGACATAGTCCCTCAAGATCTCATATTGTTTCGTATAATCACCCGCCACGATCTTAGTTGCAATAGCCTTGGCCCTGAATACTTTGTCAATAGAAACACCAATCTCGAAGTCCTTTTTAAGTTGTTCCTCCAATGCTCGAAGAGGAATCCCTGGATTCGTGTCGATTTGGTCCATGATTCGCTTGGATATAAAAGTAGCAGTGCAAGCTCTAATTGTAACGCCCGGGTTTCAGGGCTAAGCATTTTTGTCAATGTAATAGTCTAGGTCAACTCTTGTAACTCTTTTTAAAGTAATAAAGGTGAAATATTTGAGTATTATGTGAATTATGTGTGTTTTTGTGTTTATTATTTAATTATAAATGTATAATTAATAAAGAATAAAACTGAGCGTCAAAGTTAAAGTGTGAGATAATCCCGATATCTCTACATAAAGTTGTAGAATATGTCTCAAGGTTTCCGTGCATATAAGGAACGCCGAAATCCGAGTTATAACGAAGAAGTTATGACCCGTCGAAGTTTCACGACAAAACCGGCACGATACCGAGAAGCGTGAATAGTGAATTTATGATAGAGCGAGATTTAGCCTTAGCGATCTAAACAAAAGTCGTAGAATATGTTAAACTAAGAACATCGATAAAAAGAACGCCCAAATCTGACTTCGTATGAAAAAGTTATGAGATTTTAAACAGACCAATCCTGTCCCGGCCTGTTAAAAACATAACTTTAAAAATAAAGTCAAAATTAGCCGACGGAGTCTAAACGAAAGTTGTAGAGTACGTCTCCACCTACGCGTGGATATAAAGAACGTCAAAAACGGAGTTCGTATGAACGAGTTACAAATTATAATAGCATATTTACGTATTAAAATAAAGTATAAATCATGTATACGTACACATATATATACATATGTATATATCATTAGAAAGGTATCGACGATGCGGTCATTATAAGACTAATGTTGAGTTCTTTCGACATTAGTTTAGTACAAATATCATTAAATCCATTTAAAATAGTATTATAGAGGGGTGTTTAGTTGTTTATATAACTAAAAGGTCATTAAGTAATTATGGAGGGTAATTTTTGAAAATTCAATTAGTATAAATAAGAGCCTTGGGCTCTTATATTTCTTGCACCATTCTCTTGATTCAAGAGTCTTTATCTCCTTATCCCCCGATCATTTCGGTCCCTCGTGATTCGAATTCTCTTTCTGTAGTTTAGTATAGTAAGGTGAGTGCTGAAGCGCTGCACGAATCTTTCTTAGAAAGATTCAGCGACGAAGTTCTGCCCCTGCAGAGCCCGACTCCTAGCTAAAACCCCCTTGTAAGTAAGTTATGCTTACCTTATTTTAATATAGCTTATATTTAAAATTAGTATTGTTATTATGAACTTATAATAAATATTTGGGCTATTATTATGGGTTATATAAGATTTTTTTTAACGCTTATATAATAATAATAATAGCTAGACTATTAATTAGTCTCGGCGAATAATAGACTAAACTCTAGTGGTAATAATACTAGGTTTCATCGAAGAAAATTCTATTTAATAAGCGAAGCGCTGTTTGAGTTCGGAATCACCACCTTTTCAAGTGAGTGCATATTTACTTTCATCTTACACATAGATATGAAGTATTTTATATATTACGTGCTATGTGTGCATATTATCTGTATACTTGTTATCTATGCTGGATGAATGTTTTTATACAAGTTTTAAATGATTTAAACTGTATATGTATTTTATATCTACAAAAATGTTGGGGTAAAACATGGGTAGATGTAATGAGACGATGTGTGATAAAATGATGAGAGGCCTCAATGTTGTTGTTGTTGATCCAGTCATCTAGCAGAGTATAGATGACGACCACGGACTCTTCTAGACAGTCCAGTGGAACACTAGCAGGCCCGCAACCTGTAGGTGTTTGTGAACGATGTGTTCACCGGTGTACTCCATCCCCCACATGGTTGCCTATTAGGACATTTATTGCTGAGGAATCCCCTTAGCAGTAGTGTCCGTCCCGATGATGATCTTTAGGCTAGGTCCCTTATGATAGGTGTTTAGGGACGTAAAGTGAGGATAACGGGAACGGGTAATCGGGTTATTGTTGATTGATGAAATTGATAAACTTATTTATTGTGGGTTGAAAATCCTATGTGCTCAACAGGCTCACAAGCCTGACCCACTCAGTTTTATGTATTACAGGTAGTGGCGCATGAGCATAGGTGTGATGTTTTGGACGAGGGATTACGGATATAGGCCTGTAGATATGAAATAATGTAGTAAGACTTATATTGTATTGTTTATACTTTTGATCTGTACGAGCATGACATCCTGAGTCTTTTAATGAAATACATTTCTATGGAAATGCTTTTGATAAATCTTTTTCGTATTATTGTTTTGGGACAAATTCTGCAACCCTTTTATTAAAAGATAACTCTGATTTTGAAATAAAGTATAAACAAAACCGGTCTTTTCTGGCCGTGATTTTGGGGATGTCACACTAATCTTCCTACTTTGAAGGCATGTATGGTTGTCATTTAATGTCCTTACAAACCAGGGAGATTATGTGTTTGACCTAGAAGCATGAAGGAACCAACTACATTTTACTTTTTCTGAATTTACCTCTTTGTCCTTGCTTTTATTTTTTGGTATTAAGGCCCACCACCCCACTTGAATTGATGATCGGGACTACACCTCTACACAATGCCCGAAGTCTAAGCTTGTCATTCTTTTTATAATATAAATTCCTCCTAGTATCTAATGCGTGCATGTCAATTTTTTCTTTCAATTTTTTCTTTGATTTAAACTTTTGCCCAACATAAAAATTGGCCTTATGGACATTGCCAAGACTGCATCTTTTCTCCTTAGCCAAATTTTTAAGAACAAATCTTCTTTTCCTTTCATCTTCTGACCCTTCATCTAAAGAATCCCATCTATCATTGTCAATGACTTCTATGTCCTCATGTTCATCATTTGTCCCAACCCCGTTATGAAACCCATCCATTTGAACACAACCATACTCCTTATCAAGATTGAGGTTAAAGTCGGTCATATCCACCTCCACTTCTGATACATTGTTTTCATCATCATCAAGTTCATCATATTGTTCTTCTTATTGTTGCCCAAGATCATCACTGTCAGCAGACTTTTCATGTTCAGACTGATGGTCTTCAAAATTCTCATATTCTGGTGGTTGATAATGTTCTCCATCAAAAGGATCAAAGTGATCATGAGAAAAGTTCTCATAATGAAATTCATCATAATCAAACTTATCATGGACACCACCTTGATCTTGTACCACATCATCCATGTTAGCATGCTCAGCATCTTGATCTTGTACCACATCATCCATGTTAGCATGCTCACCAGCTTGATCTTGTACCACATCATCTAATTTAGGATTCTCACCACCTTGATCTTGTACAACATCATCCAATTTAGCATGATCACCACCTTGATCTTCTACTACATCATCCAATTCAACTAAACAAAGCTTTTTGGGACAAGAACTTTGAACAACTATTGAGTTCACCCTTCCATTTCTTCTATACTGTGGTGAAACTTGTGTAGGGACTTTGTCAAAGAGTATTAAGGACATATACCCTGCCATCTGTGTTTGATCATTAGCTTCATCTATTATTGGGGTTTTATCCTTTGCTGGTATTTGAGGTGCATTTGCTTCTTTTGGAAGATCACCATCACAGAGCTCCTTATTATATCTTTTTGCTTTCCTTTTGGAGACCTAAAATAGGTCAACAAATTAGTTTGTCCATGTTCTGTATACACTTCAATGACCTTGTTATCGCTAATATATTGAGGCAAATTCAAGACATCATTATCATTCCCTAAAGCTCTAAGACCAAAATCCAAGTCTTCATGAGGAATCCTAAAATGGTAATATATTACTGGGGGTACAGAGTAACCTAGCTCTAGCATCATTGTGTCTAGTTCATGAACTGAGAACTCATCAATGTCTACTAAATCAATATATCGCACTTCACCTTTAACATATTTCGTGTTTGGAAGCTTCGTAAAATTTCCACCATGGTGTAGCTTTATGGTGAACATTGTTCGTACAAGCTCTACAAGATACAAAAAACATTAAGTAAGAAATTATCAGATGTTTGTATTTTTGGCTCTGTTCTTCAGAACATCAAGAAACCCAGCAAAATTTCGTAAACAGAGTATAAGTGAAACTAACCATATTCATTTATGATGCCATACGTCTCGCCTTTTGGCCTAATCGCCCACATTACGAACACCATTTACAGTTGAAAAGCAAAAACAAGTAAACACCTTGGACCAAATCTTGATTAGGGTTTTTGCGTTCAAAACGAATGACGGAGAAGATGGAAGTGGAAGAGATAACTAAATATTTGGTGATTTTGTGTGTAATATGGCGCTAAGACGGTAACAAGTGGGTTTATTTCAGGAATTGTAAAAATGGTCCCTCACGTAAAAAGACATTTATGCCCTCGTGTGCAATGCACATGAGGGGTTTAGCAGCCACAAAGAAACGACTGTTAAACCCAGGGACTTGTTCGACAAACAAACCTTTCAATAAGGACCAGAAATCCAATTTTTAAAAGGTTTGGACCATATCCATAAAAAATGACCAACCATAGGGACCATTTTTGCATTTTTGTCTTTAATTCCAAATCAAACCCTAGAATTTTAAAAGTTTAAAATTCTACCCTTATACTATTATAATATTATAAGTTTAATATATATATATATATATATATATATATATATATATATATATATATATATATATATATATATATATAAAAGAACAAAGTAAATCTTACCATTAGTAGACCTCATTCACGAAGTTGGTCTATAAGGGGGTATAAGGTTACTGCCTATAAAATGACAGTTTAAAGGGTGTCCACTCTCACCCACCACTTCCTTGACAGGTGGAGGGTTGTTAGCTGAACGGGTAGGATAGGCCTTTAATTCTCTCTTCATTAAAAGTATAATGATAAACATAAAGTAACTAAACTTTATTAAATTCCTAATCTTAGTTACTTTAGGAAAATGTGAATATGGTGCTAACCCACGAAATTGGACTTTGCACCTTTTTAAGTAGTTAGTGGAGTGTGTGTGGTTAACCAGCACACTAATATAGGACTGACAATTTTTGGCAAATGGTAGCTTGACGTTAATCATAGATCAATGGAGCGTGTGTGGTTAACTGGCACATTGATTAGGTGGTTGTAACGTTGGGTGTACCAAGCTAATTTGCATGGTTATTCACTCCTTGTTTGTGATCCTCGGGATCCCAGTCACAAACCTGAAGGCCACAATCGAGATTTAAATATGTCATTGAATAGTTCAATGAATCTCAAAGGATCCAAGAGTTTCAGTTCACTTAAAACCTAAAATTCTTTTTCGTTTTTCGTGGTGGAAATTGGTAAATCATTTAACTACCTTCAAATATTGTGTAGCTTGGATTACGGCATCCCTCTTCCAAGTTATAAAATATTTTGTTGGATCCTAGCCTTAATATTTCATATTGGATGTTATACTAAGGACTTAAATCAACTTGCTTGAATTTCTACCTCATAGATGTCTAGTTCAGACAACTATGGTCTTTCTTATCCTTTTGTATAAAGCTTTCCTAATGAAGATGATATCCCACATGGCGATCAAGGTGAAAGAATAATCCCTTTATCGTGCATTAATGGGACTGGAAATCATGCTTCACTTCCCCCCCCCCCCTCCTCCAATTATTCTCCTTAACCCACAAGTTTTTGAAAAGTTCAAGGTCACTCAATCCCTATTGGCAAGCAATGTCTATATGTGCTCACATCTTGGAGATGAAGTCACATATTGATAAGCCGGGAGAGTTGGGTGTTGAAGTCTCGAGGAATTTGGCCATTGACTGGGTTCTTTAGTCACCCCTTGATGACAAATCACGACATGACCCTTATTGATCTTACCTATTTGCTTGTTGTTGCTGAATCAACAATGATTTGGAGCAATATTAAAGAAAATTTGATTGGAAGATCTACTTCCCAAACTTCCATGGACATTGACAATGGTAACATTAAAAGTCCAGAAAAGCTCTCTTGCCAATGGAAAGGGATCGACCATGGTCAAGTCGTTTGACCCAATGGTAAAGAGAAAGGTTAACTCTGAGATAGTCTCGTGTACCATTCCCAAAAAGTCCATAAGTTTCTTTTTCCAAAAGAAGGGGAGTTGGTTGTGAAGATGCTAAATTTACCTAAAAGTTCATAAGGATGGTAAAAGTCAAAAAGTTTGACTTTACTTCAGTTAAAGTCCACTATTTAACTCTATTAAGTTCCTATTTGGAGATTCTTAATACGTGATGTAATGTAATTACATTTTAATGTTTTGGAGAATCAAAGGAAGCTTAAAGAAAGAGTAAGCTAATTCTGATCGTGAAGAGATGGATTTTGATCGCATAGTTTGATGATCAGAATTTTGAGCTGCTGATTAAGAGTTATGAAAGATTTCTTAGGAATAGATAACAACATGTTTTTTATATGTATTTTCATTGTAAGGATAAGTTTTGCCACAAAATATTTCACAAATGAAGAAAAGTTTTTTATTTTAAGTTTCCTTACAATGGCATTCGTGAAAAATTATTGTTTATATGATTCCATTGATAGCAATATTGGAAAATGGATTTGATTCTTTCGTTTGTGGTAGTGTCATAATTCACCAAATAAGGAAAGATTCTCATCAACCAAGTTTCAGTTGGATAGAAACTTGGAATCATGAAACTTGTATTGTGTGATGAATGAGAATTTTCATCTTTGGGAAATTAAGACTAATTCCTTGTTCACATGTATATGTGAGTCAAGTGAGGGACTAGGGGATCAAATACACTTGGTTGTGCACTGATTAGGTCCACCACACAGAACGATAAGACTATTTGTCATGATTTACTAAAGTTTAGTAAATTTGGTTATGGTTACAAGTTTAAGTGTAATTCTGAATCGTTGAAAAGGTTTCATTGTTTGGCAGAACGAATAGAAGAATCAAATTAGGTAGAGAAATAAAAGTTTCTCCAATATGAAAAGATGGGAGAGTACTTGAAATATCATGTTTTATGATTATCTTAGTGATTATGAAGCCATATCACAATTGATACTCTAAGGACATCATGGTGCATTTGTTTGGCTAAGAAGAGGAATCGTGAATTGTTGAAATGGTTAAATCAAGAGAATGAGTCATACTTTGTTCCAAAACAAGTCTTAGAGTCATACTCCAAGATTGTAATTCAAGTGACATAATCTTAAGAAAGGTTTATCACTTGGTTGTGCACTGATTAGGTCCACCACACAGAACGATAAGACTATTTGTCATGATTTACTAAAGTTTAGTAAATTTGGTTATGGTTACAAGTTTAAGTGTAATTCTGAATCGTTGAAAAGGTTTCATTGTTTGGCAGAACGAATAGAAGAATCAAATTAGGTAGAGAAATAAAAGTTTCTCCAATATGAAAAGATGTGAGAGTACTTGAAATATCATGTTTTATGATTATCTTAGTGATTATGAAGCCATATCACAATTGATACTCTAAGGACATCATGGTGCGTTTGTTTGGCTAAGAAGAGGAATCGTGAATTGTTGAAATGGTTAAATCAAGAGAATGAGTCATACTTTGTTCCAAAACAAGTCTTAGAGTCATACTCCAAGATTGTAATTCAAGTGACATAATCTTAAGAAAGGCTTATAAAACTCATCAAATGTAGAGTAAAATGTTTTTTTTAATCTTGTACATTTGAAATTAGTAAGTTGTGATGTTTTGCATAAAACAAAGACCCACTAAGACCAATAGTGTGAAGTGTTTTTCTTGATAAGAATCCGCACTAACTATTGAATATTTGTTTGTCAAGGAATGGTTCTTGACAAGATAATCTCATATGCCATGGAGTTGGTGTGAGTCTTAATGATCATGAATAGGGTCTCAAGAACTAATCCAGAATAAAACTTGTTGTTTATCACTAGCACACGACTTGAGGTTTGTAACCTATCGTGTTGACATATTCTTGTTTATGTCCTCATTCCAGTTAAAGT